CTACACTCAGAGGACTAGCTACTCAGGGGAGAGGAGGCATGCAGGAGAGCGCTAAAACACAGAAGGCTGCTTTAGGTCACTGTACAATCCACATGCAAAGGTACATAATCTCTCAACAGAGCTCAATAATGTCAAGAAATGCCTCCTCCCTCCTTCCACTGTTGAGACAGATGTAGTCTAGGCTGGCTTAGAAATGGCTACACAGCAAAGGGTGATCCTGAATTCCTAGATGTCCGAGCCTCCAAATCCAAGGTACTAATATTACAGGCATCCACTACCAGATTTGGTTTTCTGAGATGCTGGGGATTAAGTCCAAGTCTTTGCACACACCAGATATCATCCTGTTGGCTTAACGACAACTCCAACAGTCAAGAAACAAGATATTTTAGTTCATAGTAAATTTCTTTTGTTGTTGCTGGAGACGGACCCAGGGCCTTATACATTCCAGGTAACACTCTACCACTGAGTTCCATTCTAATTCCTAAAGTTAAATTTTTATGAATTGAATTATTTTAAGTTAAAATCTGCTTGCTTTAAAATTAAGTTGAAGCAATTCAGGTATTAATAAGTTTATAGTTTTTCAGGCAGATCTCCATCATTCTCTATTGGCTCTTAGTCCTTTACCCAAATAAAAACCATACATACCTCCTCTAATTGTTTTTTAAGGTCCACTATTTCTCTTCTGTACCTTTTCAAGAGGGCCTCATCATTTGACACCTCGTTAACATAAGGGGTATTCTTCATATATTTAGCAGCGCTGGCAAACTGGGACAAAATATCAAAGCATAAGATGTTCAATATTAAAAGAATTCCAATAATCAATAATAACACTTGTTTCTTTCAATCAACTTCCTTTGGGGAAAAAAAAAACAGCACTTCTGGCTGAATGTATTTGTCTTTTATCTGTTTTAATTTTCTTTGGGGAGGATGATGTATGTGGTGTGTTCATGTGTGCAGACACATATGTGTGCATATATGTGTGTGCACACAGAGGACATGGGTTATTGTTAAATATCTTCATCAATTGCTCCACCTTCTGTACTGAGGCAGACTTTCGTATTGAACCTGGAGCTCGCTGATTTGGCCAGTGCAGCCAATCAGCTTGTCCTGAGATCCCTTGCCTTTGTTTCCTGAGTGCAGAGACTGCAGGAGAGGTGCTGTGCCTGCCCAGCTTGGATGCTGGGAATCTGAACTCTGGTCCTCACACTAGTGAATACAGTGTTTTGTCAGATGAGACATTTCTCCAGCTCCCACTTTACTAGTTCCAGGTAATCATGTTGGAAGCCAATCTCAAGTACTTCATAAATGCTGTGAGGCCAGCAGTACCTTGACCTAGTACTCAACAGCTAAAATTCTTTTCTTTTCTAGCCAGCTTCTTGTTACATGGCTCAGACAGGCCTGAGATTGATAGGTGGATCAAGCTAGCTTCAAACTCAAAGGAACCACCTTGCTCCTGCTTCCAAGAGCTAGAATTAAAGGCATATGTTATTACACCTGGCTTAATCTGTTTTCTATTTTAGAGCGTGTTTTATGTTACCCAGGCTTCCTAAACACTGGGATTTGGGGCATGTGCCACCATGCTCAGCTTTAATGCATTAAAGCACTTTTCCCACAATGGGGAAAACTCAAGGTCTGTGTATGCTCTGTAAGCATTCTACCAGAGATATAACCCCAACCCCTGCCACATGCTAACCATTGCTGAAGGTAACAATTAACAACACGAGACTCCTCACCGAGAAAGTTGCGATATTAACTTGTTTTCCATTTTTCCTTTTCATTTCCTTTCTTTTTAAATAGAAAATGCAGGCCTGCAACTCTTACACAGCTAACCATTAGCAGAAATTCACTAGATGTTTGGTCACACACATTATATGTTTTTATATTACTATTTGTCCCAAGCAACACTAGTTTTTCATTTATGAATCTAACATAAAGCTTTTAGTTACTATGTATCAATGGTGGGGGGGGGGATGAGTTATTTAAAGAAAATAATAAATCGCTTCACTTAAAAGTATTGGGTGTTCCCAAAATTATAGAGATGGGATGCAAACATCAAAGTCTAGGAATTAAATAAAGGAATTAAAGTAAGTTAAGAATGATATTTGCTAGACTGTACATCAATTTTATAACAGGGCTATGTCAATGGGAGAAAAATGACTTACCATTTTGCCAGGTAACCATTCCCTACAGTGAAATGAGATGAAAACTAAACTCACCTGGAGAGTGGTTAGGGTCTCATCGAATGACACTGGAGTAATTGTGCAGATGATACGAGTTTTTGCATTTCCTCCCAAGGAATTCTGAAGAATTCGAGTTAATTTGCTATCTCGGTAATTTATGAAACCACTTAAGAAACAAGCATGGGAAGAAAAAGGTTGAGAATGTACATATAAAAATGTTTTCCTTGAAGAAAATGAACACTTAGCCATAATTTTATAAATTAAGTTTTTACAGGTTGTATAAGGCAGATTAAACTGCTAATTAAGAATACTTAAGGTAAGAAATAAACTCAGTAGTTAGTTACATGTATAAGAAGCTATGCTCTAGCCGGGCATTGATGGCGCACGCCTTTAATCCCAGCACACGGGAGGTAGAGGCAGGTGGATCTCTGTGAGTTCGAGACCAGCTTGGTCTACAAGA